AGGCGCCGAGCCGATGATGAGCATTTTTACAAACACCTGACTGACATGTGACTCATACTTACAGAGGGTATTACAGGTCATAGGTAAATGTTCCAACTTTCATACAAATTCAACTTAAAAACAAACCTACAAAAAAAAAAAAACCCTACAGAACCTATCTCATTCATAACCTGGGGACTGCCTGCATATGCAGTTTATTATGCCAACTACACATCAAAAAAGCTGTTAAAAGGTTATTTTGTTAATACCCTTAAATCCAGTAGCATTATGTACCTTGACTGAGCACAAAAAGATACTCTTCCCTGTATTTTTTGATACACGATGCCCAAAAAACTTCTGACAATAACACAGTGTGACCTCCTGAAGCAGAGTAGACAACTATGCTATTTGATACCCTGGGTGAGAAAAGGATATTCTGCCTGCCACGGATAAATTTATCAAAATTTCCCACTCTAAAACTACAAATCTGACCTCTATATTGGACTGCATTATTTTAAGCTTCTAAACAAAGGGGCTGTTTAGAAGAGTTTAAACTAAAAACAGTAGTTTTATTTGCTTTTAAAAACTGGTAACATTCAGGAAGGATTTTGAAAATTTGCTATATTAACAAATCTCTAAAGTTATTTAAGCCAGAAAAAAACCGTTGCCTGTTTTAAGACCAACCTCCCCCTAAAAGGACTTGAATGCTTTTGTTAAGTAACTTTGATAAACAACGAGCCAAAAACTAACACTCATTCTTAATATGAGTAAATATGAATGGCTGGGTTTATATCGTAATTAGAAAAAGAAAAGCCAGACAACCGCACTCACCTATTTTGTTCCTCCAGCTTAGCCAGGAGTTCTAAGTCATCTGGACTCAACTGTGATGGGGAAGATGGTGACAGGGCTGGTGTTGACAGTGTGGTAGACGAGGACGTAGTGTGTAATGAAGCAGATGGACTTGCCACCTGACTGGCCATCTGACTGACTGTATGCGAGACTGTGTTCTTCACCCATGAGAGAGTAGAACTCAGCTTTTCTGCAACCTTGTCTGTCGCCACCTAAGGAGAAAAATAAAAGTTACATATATTTTAGTTTCACTGCATTTATTGCCCAAAAATTGATAATCCTATTAAATTTTACTTAATAACTACCAGTAGAATATCCTCTGTGAGATGATAAAGGTAAACCCTGTTTTAGCAACCAGTTACCCTAACATCTGTCTGGAAACTATTTTAGCTTTACAGCTGAACAAATCAGAACATTTTCTAAACTACACATCGAAACCCATCAATCAGGCAGTGATAAAATCATTTTAATCATTCTAGTGTTAAAATCACTTTAAACACCAGAATGTAATGAAAAACAGCAGAAAATATCAAAGTAAAGGTGTTATCTAATAAAATTTTTATTTCAACTGCATAAATATTCAAAATGCACATTACCTGTATGTGTACATATGGGTGTATTAAGTCAGGATACAAAATGCATTCTTAATTGGGAGTTCTAGTCATTTCAAAGTCAAGGAATTAAAACACACCCATTATGTCATCAGGATAGGAAAACCTATAATATACCTAGCAAATCAACAAAAATGGGTGTGTTCAGCAGAAATGAACTATAATGGACCCTTGATTAATCTAGTCTACAAACTCTAACGTGCTGTTATACAAGAAGGACTAGATCTAGAGGAACAAAATTGTGATAAATGCTGAGTTAACAAAGTGAGAAAGGTTCAACGTAGACATTTCTAACAGAGCTATTCAGAAATAGAATGGGATGCCTATAAAGAGTAGTTCACTCTCCATCAATAGCTCCATTAAAGCAGCAATTCTAAGAGCCAAAAGTCAAGAGTTGGACAAGGATGAGTTTTTGTTTTGGCAACCAGGACAGAAAAAGCCAAAATTCCTCTCAAAAAATGATACATATGTCCACATATTTCTCATAAACCGTTAACCATTCCAGCCTCCTACCCATATGTATACAATAAATTCAGCTCAAAGAAAATATAATAAAATTCAAATAGGCATCATCACTTCAGTACTATTAAACAATGTGAACAGTAACTGTTTGAAAACCTATGCAAAACTAAACATTCCTAATGAGTCTATAAAATAATGTATACTAGGGTTTTAGGGAAATTTTAGTTTTTAAAAATTATGACTAAAATGGCTTCTAAATTGTGAAATGCATAGACATGTGAGGGCTACAAACCATGAGGTGCTTCTATGTGCTTTGAGCTCTAAAATTTTATGCAATAGGTAAACGGCTAAAGCACTTTATTTTCTGAATCAACAAACTCTCAGTCAACCTTGGTTTACACAGAGAAATTCATATAGACATACACATTAAAATACCAACACATACACACAAATAAAAATCCCACCCAGACTTCTGGTAGCAGGTACTACTCTCCTCATGAGTATTGTCCAAGACTTTCCTCCTCACCTCAATATACTATTTATACAGCTCTTTTTCTGTCCCCATTTCCTCCTCCTCAACTTAGCAGAAAAATTCAACTTAAGGAAAGGATAAAAAGGAAAAGAGATTCCGAGGACACAGGTAAGCCATTCAACATGAGGATGGAGATTCTAAGACAAAGATTCGATTTCAAGTGCTAATGGGGGCAAGAGTTTTATTAACCTGAAGATAATCTCTCATTTTCTTTTCATTTTCTATAATTTCTCCCTATTAGAACTTATTTCTGTTGAGAACAGTATTATAGAAGGAACCAACAGGCTCTTATTGCAGAGAAAAAAAAGCCTTAAGAAAGACAAAGGGGGCCAGTTGCAGTGGCTCACATCTGTAATCCCAGCACTCTGGAAAGCCAAGGCAGGTGGACTGCTTGAGCTTCAAGAACAGCCTGAACAAGAACGAGACCTCGTCTCTACTAAAAAGAGAAAAACTAAAGCAAGACCATCACTTGAGCCCAAAAGCTTGAGGTTGCTATGAGCTATAATGTCATGGCACTCTAGTCAGGGCACCAGAACGAGACTTTGTCTCAAAAAAAAAAAAGGCTCGGCGCCTGTGGCTCAAGTGGCTAAGGCGTCAGCCACATACACCTAAGGTGACAGGTGCAAATCCAGCCCAGGCCCGCCAAATAACAATGATGGCTGCAACCAAAAAATAGCTGGGTGTTGTGGTAGGTGTCTGCGGTCCCAGATACTTGGGAGGCTGAGGCAGGAGACTTGCTTGAGCCCAGGAGTCAGAAGTTGCTATGAGCTGTGATGCCACAGCACTTTACCCAGGGGGACATCTTGAGGCTCTGTCAAAAAAAAAAAAAAAAAAGAAAGTATGCCTTGTTTTGCAAAGCATATATTGGGTCCCCAAGTTTTGACGC